ATATCTCGTCAGATGACCACAGGAGCATATAACCAGGGGTTCCCCTTGAACAGAAGTAAAGGTATCTTGCTTTTCCATGTATCAATGTTACTTGAAAAGGTGTGGTACATCGACCTCTTGTATAAACTCATCCAAAAGGTCTTTCCACTTTGGCTTTTAATGCTGTTGAAATCCTTTCACGAAGACATGAAGTTTCGGATTAGAATTAACAAAGTTTTGTCAATAATACGACCCGTGAAAGCCGTTGTTCCTCAGGGTTCGGTCTTAGTATTGATCCTTTATTCATTTTATATACGTGACGTCCCTGGTTCTAGTCACTAGTACGTAGTCGTGTTCTCCTGACCAGATTCAGAACAGGCTGTAGAGTGCGGTGGAGGAATTATTGGAGCGAGCGTTGGTGGCTGATCAAAATTGATCGCTAGAAGACGCAGGCAATATATTGTGGTAAAGACATCGCGGTGATTTATCAGAGATCTCAGTGAATCGCACTCGTATACCATGGGAACAATCTGTCAGGTACCTTGAAGTCATCATTGATAAGAGGTTGACTTAACAGAGAAACACTGGTACTTTTAAAACGACATTCCAAATTACTTGGCGCAGCTTTATCTTTTGGTATCTAGGAATCCAAAATCCAGTTTGACCAACAACATGCAGATTCACTAGACCTGTAGTCTTGAGAAATGAGAAAAACGGGATTGTTATACCTTAGACAAATTCGTAGTTCTGCCACTCTTCGTGTCAGCTGCCTTTTGTATGACGACCAGTTAGTTTTTCATCTACGTAAATATAATCAAGAACCGTACGTAGCTCACACCTTCGCAAATTTGATTTTGTAGTATACCTATAAGTGACAACCTAACAGCGTATGCGATACATCTGATCAATATATTTGTTATTCTTAGTTGTAGTACCTGAGAGGAGATCTTAATCTTTTCATGAACTAAAAGTTGTCTAATCTACCCAAATCCACCCAAAAATATTTTGCCGATATGATATATGATAGAAAAAGAGAGGAATCTAGTAATCAAATTACGGATTTCCAAAAATTATTACACCCACAGAAAAATTTCCCTAAATATTCACAAAAAAGTATGAGATTTGCGAAACGTAAGATACACATTTTGATGAACCTTAATTGGAATGTGAATTAGTCATACCGCAGATGAGCTCTCGAAGCTACGTGTTGAGGCCATCAAAAACCATCTTAACAACTGAAGAACTGATTCAAGTTTATTTTGCTAACGTGGATCCAAGATAAAGTTATTGGGTATATTTCTGGGGTTAGTCAGCGCGCGCTGAAGATGTATTTGTATCACAAACGAGCTGCACTCGATCGCTATCAGGAGTATCACCAACAAAAGGTGATACTCGTTTTATTTTATAGATTTCAATATTTGCACTGTTCCTTCGTTGAATATACTCGTATTATGGATTGTGCTTACATGTTTTTAAAAATAATGATAAATTGAAATTGAAATTATGATACAATGGTTAATAGTAATTTATATGTAAAATTTAGCAAAACAAAAGCAGCATGTCGATCACCTAATATAGTTGGTCCTCTTCTCTTCAATAATATACCTACCAAATTACGTCGATTTAAACATGTTAATCTGTTCAAATTCCATTTAAAATAATTTTTGATAAATCGCTTTTATCATGTTAACGATTTTTTCAAGATTGTAATTCAAGATTAGTTGTATGTTGTAGGTGCGGTGCGTAGAATTGACAATTGCAATATAATTGTAAATTGTCTGTATGGTGATAGAGGTTTTGGTTTTGGATCTCGACTTACAGGCTTGGGCACAATGATTTGACGTTTAGTTTTTTTGTTAATGGATTACCTGACACGGAAGCTATTTATAAAAATGCAGCAGTATTATATCTCCTAAAATCATCTAGCGTATTGCTTCGCAGACCTGACCGAAATCATTTCATCAGTTGCTGTGAATATGGAGTGACAAGAAAGCTACAATGAGACTGACACACAGGCCTGCGTAAATACCTAATACAGATTTTTGTTATGCAAAGCATCAATTAAACGTACGAATGTCAATGACTTTCACGATTGTCATGTGCGGAGTCAAAATGCACTTTTAATTGAAGATCCTATCTCCAACAAAGATGAATACTGTATGGACACCTGCAACACTATATGTTATTCAATTTTCCACTATCTACTACATGTGTATACACTTTACCCAAGCTATTAATCTGTGGTGTGAAGTTGGCGAGTTGTTTTCTACTACGAAACGTGATACCTGTTCTAATTTAACAAAAGAACGTCTATTGTATCGGGTGTAGTGTTCTGGAACAGGCACTACGGTGCATATTCGTGCTTGATAGACTCAGACTCCTACTATTATATGTGATTTTCAAAAATGTCTCTCTCTTGGAGGCCATAGGATACCTTATTTAGAAGCTCTTAATATATAGGTACTTTATAACCCTGGAGCAAAAACCCTACCTTCCAAAGTGGCAGACAGTCATATCTCTTATAACTCAACAACCAAGTACCAAAGCGCAGTATGTATTATCAATATTCTTTTCTTTGATGGATCTATCCAAATATGTAATAAAATAAGGAATATTCCATTTAGAAAAACGTTAAAATTTGTCAGTTCTTCTATATATATATATATATATATTATATAATATATATATATATATAATATATATCTGCACGAGAAAGGTCTCGCCAAGTGAGCTCCGCATTATTTAGCGGAAAAGTAGTGTTCTAGTTTATTAAAAACTGTGAGTTTTAACCCAGAGGTTGCAGTTGTGTTGATGATTTGAGTTGTGAAAGCAGCACAAGGAAATCTGGATAAGTGCGTAAGTTATAAACGTTTATTTTTTCCGTTGTCCGTACATAAACAAAGTAAGCTGCCACGCCCAGTTACGCCCACGCTCTGAGAAGAGGTATTTTGGTTCTAAACGACCAAGTCTCGATAGCGATACCATCCAATGATCTTGACACCACACGAAGAACGTTACAGTGTATTCGACTGACAGCAACATAAAATTGGGTACGCGATCATGGCAGAAAAACCAATTAGTCTCGAGGACATCTACAATTTAATTACAAACTCCAATACGGAACTCAAGGGTGAAATTGAACAATTAAATAAGAACATCACAGAAGTAAAAAAAGAGATAGAGAACACGAATAATAAATTTAAAGAAATTGAAGAGGAAAATAAAACATTAAAAAACAAACTGAATGTGCTTGAAGCTAAGTTGAAGAAGTATAGCGTAGTTGCGTATGGGATAAATGAGGAAGATAAAGGAGCAGCAGAAGAAGCTAAAGAATTTATCGAACAAAAATTGGAAATTTTCATAGAAGCAACCCAGATAAGAGATTCCTATCGCATAGGTAGAAAGGTAGAGAATCAAAAAAAGCCACGACCACTTGTTATTGAACTGCTGAACTATAGAACCAAACAAAATATTTTGATAAAATCTAAACAATTACCGAAGGATCTGGCGTATTTGTCACCAATGACTACACAAAGGAAGAATACGAAAAAAGAAAAGTCCTACATGCACATTTAAAACAAGCTAGACAAGCAAATAACTCAGCATATATAAAAAACAACAAATTATATGTGAATGGTGACGCCTATTCATATGAAACACTACAACAGGACGAGTTACCAGAAACATTTACAGTAGAAGCTACATCGAAATTCGAAACAGGCCACAGATCCACAAACAACAATAGCGAGACCAAAAGAGGGGAAAAGAGATCTGCTGAAGAAGCTTCTTCAGGAAAGCAAAAAATCTTAGTAATTCATCAAGGCCCTAAATTAAGAAGAAGCAATTCTAGGCCATAATGGACTCATACATTCGTGATTTTCGAATAGAAAAGATTAGTACTAAAAATGTAACGTCTATAGATGAATGCAATAGCACTTTGAATTCAGAATGTAACAGAGAAAATGTTTCGTTATTGCACCTAAATATTAGGAGTATACATAGAAATTTCGACGAATTCAAGGTGCTACTGCATGGAATCAAAAAAACATTCGACTGTATAGTTTTGTCAGAATGCTGGAAACTTGAAGATATTTCACTATATCAACTGGAAAATTATAACATATACTATAATGATGGTGATATTAACAAAAATGATGGGGTTATAGCTTATATCAATAAAAACGTTGAGGTGAGAATACAATAATACAACTTTCTAACACAAACATAAAGATCTTGCAGCTTTCTATGAAAAAATGTAAAGACCTAGTACTTGTTTCAGCTATTTATAGACCACCGTCAACAGATGCTTTGTCATTTCTCAGTGACTTGGAGCCATACCTTGAATCTTGTAACAAAAGTCGTTGCATCCATCTACTGGCGGGTGACATAAACATAAATATAATGGAAAAGTCTGAGTTATCGGAAAAATACTTGAATATCTTAGCCTTGTATTACCTTCGTCCAGCAATAAATGACTACACAAGAGTGGATGGTAACGCAAAGTCTTGTATTGATCACATATTCGCTAGCACTCCTTCTGATAATGGTCACATAAATTCTGTAATACTTCAAAACCATATAACTGATCACTTTACAACTATACTAGAGATAATTTTCCCCAAAATCATTAGCAAAAATATAAACACAAATTGTGTATATAGAACAAATGAAACCAAATTACTTGAACTTCTGAATAATCAAACTTGGACACCAATATATAATTCGATCAACACGCACAAAGCTACTGAACATTTCATACAAATATTGAACGAAAATATCACTAAATGTAGGTATAAATTAAAACTCAAAAATAATCAAAAAGCTAGGAAAACATGGATAACTAGCGCTTTGGTGAACTCTGTAAATAAGAAAAACAAACTATATCGTGAAATGATAAAAAACCAACGGAAATAAATATAAAAAGATTTAAGGATTACAGAAACTTATTAAATAACCTATTAAAAATAAGAAAAAAGGAATACTACGACAGCAAAATCAAGAAAACCAATAATAGTAGTAAGATGTTATGGGATTGTGTAAATGAGATTTCCGGTAAAAGGAATAAAAAGGCAGAAATAGATAAGATAAAAATCGAAAGTGGGGAAGAAATATCCAATAAAAATGATATTGCTCAGAAGTTTTTGGAACACCTCACAAGCATTGGTGAAAAAGCAGAGAGAGATACCACGCACTGCTCCTATCAAACAAGTAAATAAGCTTATCAACTCAATTTATTTAGACGATACGGATGAAAACGAAGTGAGGGAGACTATATTAAGCTTGAAAAATGGCAAGGCTCCTGGAAGCGATAACATAAAAGCTGAAACTCTGAAAAAAATACGATATTATATATGCAAGCCTTTAAAATATATAATAAATGAATGTTTTCGTACAGGAGTATTTCCCGATATTTTAAAGTTAGCCACAATAACACCTATCTACAAAAAAGGTAGCAAACTTGATATAGAAAATTATAGACCAATATCCCTGATTTCGAGTATCGCCAAAGTTGTAGAAAAAATAATCAAGTCAAGGTTACTAAAGTTTTTCAATAGGTATAACGTGTTACATAAAAATCAATTTGGATTTAAAGAAGGCATATCAACGCAAGATGCAATAGCTACACTATCCAAAAAACTGTACAGACTAGTTAACGATAAGATCCCTGCCATTTGCATATTTATAGACTTAACCAAAGCTTTCGACACCATTAGTCATGACAAGCTGTTGGAAATACTCGAGCTTAGCGGTATAAGGGGAACTACTTTAGACTTAATGTCGAGCTACCTAAATAACAGAAAGCAGTGTGTCAAAATAGATAACGTGACCAGTCATTATAAAGACGTATGCTATGGGATCCCACAAGGAACTGTTCTTGGGCCAATATTATTTAATATATATATTAATGATTTGTTCTCAATGGATTCGGGAGGTACAGTGTTAGGATTCGCGGACGATACTGTCATAATTTATGAAGACTCAAGTTGGCCCGCACTTAAAAATAAAATCGAAAATAATCTCACCAACGTACTAGCATATTTCAACACTAAGCTACTCACAGTTAACTCTGAGAAAACTAGTTTTGTACCTTTCGCATCCTATAGAAACCATATGCCACAATATAACGAAATAAATGTCAGAATAGGAAACTATACGACAACCATTAAACGTCAAAGCAGCACTAAATATCTGGGAATATATATTGATCAAAATCTCAGATGGGATGTTCAAATCGAATATGTGACAAAGAAAATAAGATGCCTCATTCCAAAATTCAAATGTCTTAGAAACATCCTTAATACAGATTGCATGAGAATCTTATACTTCGCACTTGTGCAGTCACATCTTTGCTATGGAATACTACTGGCTGGGGAGGAGCTGGCTTCACTTACATAAAGAACTTGGAGATTGCCCAAAAATATTTATTAAAAATTCTTATAGCAAGAGCAAAACTCATCCATCTGATGAGCTATACCATGAGTCTGGAATTATGGACATTAGGCAAACCTTATTTATAATTGCATGGTATACTACTTTAAAAATAAATCATTTCATGAGGAAATCGCTCACAAATATGACACTCGCCAGAAGGTTGCTAGGCACATAATGGTACCTAGGCCGAAAAGTCATTATTGCAACGCTCCTGGATTTATCTCTGCCCCAAATTGTACAACGAAATGCCTGCTGATTATAAGTTAATACGAAACATTGCTTTATTCAAGAAAAAAATCTCAGTCTGGGTGAAAGGTATATCCAGGAGCATAATACATGATTATATAGAAGGCAAAACACTATATATATCACTCTCACAACCCAAATGAAGTCACCGTTTTTAGAATAATTGCTCCGTTCTATTAATTTATTATTTTATCATATTTTATTGTACGTTATTATATTTTATTAGATTTTATTATGTTTTATTGTAGTCACTTATATGCTAAACCGTATCTCATGTATGATGGGCATTTAATTTATTCTATTCTATGCTTGATATATCCTTGTCTTTATTGCTCACAACACAATGCAACTACCAGTTTTGTATGTCATTTTAGTTTTTATTGTCCTTTATCTTAGATGTACTCTTTTTTAGTTAGCCTTTTGATTTATGTTATTTATTATTGAATTTAGTTAAAGTGCCACAATGTCAGTTCAAGGTTTTCGCATTTCTACCAGTGATCGTGTAACACCAAATTATGTCAGTGCGTGCGTAAGAAGTGCATAGTGCATTAGCAAGTACTTGATAGACTTTATTTATATCTGCGGATAGACAACTGACAATAATGGGATGGCCACACACAAGATTTTTCTTTCGTGGCATTACTTTTATTTGTCATTGATACTCCTTGTGGGCAACAGCAACAGTCTCTCTTCTTAAACTGAATATCTCATATTTTGTAGCAAGTCCAGATATACTTATAAAATATACGTTTTGATGATAAGTTGTTAAATTACAAACAATTTAAAGTCCAACGCTCAACAATAACAGTCTGCCATTTTCAGATATAGTAATGTCATATTCTAGAGTTATATATGTTAGTGCTAATGTGGAGCTTAAGGCCGTATCGTCAGTCCTTGTCATAGTTTTCTACTTCTCCGTGTCAGCGCTCTATTTTGAGGTTATGTCACAAACATCTATTTGCATCAAATTGTGCTAGATTTTGAGGTTATATCATGTTTTATCAGCCTGAAATTTCCTACAAGTTAAAAAGGAAACATATCTTCACATAGGAGAGCGCTGACGCTGATACGTGACAAGTGTAATCTAGAAAATTTTTGAAGGAGAGAAAGGAGTATGACAATCAAGGAGGCCATAAACGCGCCCTACAACTGGTCGTCATACAAAAGGCAGCTGACACGAAGAGTGGCAGAACTACGAATTTGTCTAAGGTATAACATCCGTTTTTCTCATTTCTCAAGATTACAGGCCTAGTGAATCTGCTTGTTGTTGGTCAAACTGGATTTTGAATTCCTGGATACCAAAAGATAAAGCTGCGCCAAGTAATTTGGAATGTCGTTTTAAAAGTACCAGTGTTTCTCTGTTAAGTCAACCTCTTATCAATGATGACTTCAAGGTAGCTGACAGATTGTTCCATGGTATACGAGTGCGATTCAGTGAGATCTCTGATAAATCACCGCGATGTCTTTACCACAATATATGCCTGCGTCTTCTAGCGATCAATTTTGATCAGCCACCAACGCTCGCTCCAATAATTCCTCCACCGCACTCTACAGCCTGTTCTGAATCTGGTCAGTAGAACACGACTACGTACTAGCGACTAGAACCAGGGACGTCTCGTACATAAAATGAATAAAGGATCAATACTAAGACCGAACCCTGAGGAACAACGGCTTTGACAAAACTTTTGTTAATTCTTATCCGAAACTTCATGTCTTCGTGAAAGAATTTCAACAGCATTAAAAGCCAAAGTGGAAAGACCTTTTGGATGAGTTTATACAAGAGGTCGATGTACCACACCTTTTCAAGTAACATTGATACATGGCAAAGCAAGATACCTTTACTTCTGTTCAAGGTGAACCCCTGGTTATATGCTCCTGTGGTCATCTGACGAGATATTTTCAATGTCACAGTGAACCACCTTTTCAGAGAGTTTAGAAAGAGATGACAGCAGGCTAATGAGATGGTAATATTAGCGAATATCGATCTGTCTGGGGTCATGATGAATCCAGCAATCTTCCGCGTCCAAGATAGCTACTAATTTCAGAGCATTGCGTAATCAACTCAGATTGCTGAATGATAGCTTGTTCATAATTCATATTGTTTCTAATCCATATTCACGTTGGCATTCTACATTTGCTTCTTCTTAATGAACTTATTCTCCCAGTTCTATCATCCATGTTGTTATCCCAATGTTTTGTGATGTCCGGTTGTAGAGTTAAGTGGTAGAGTACCTAAGACTAAGCTTTTGACGATGATGCACTTCATTCTCGCTATTTTTTTATTTAAATCTTGTGTAGTTTCCGTCAAGAAAAGCAGGTAATTCGATTTTGTTTCAATTTTGGATATGCATACCTACAACGTGACCAAACATCTCGTGTGAAACTACCAACGTCAAAAAGTAAAGGTGAAAAAGAATCACATTCTAAGGACAGCGTGGACAAATTTACTACGTTACGTTAGACACAGCTTTGATGTAAAAAATTATATTGGAGCTCACGACAGCAGATTTTGTTGCTTCTCGTTCGTATAGAAGCTGCGTACAGACCGAGATTAGCATAAGCCAACGGTTTCCAAGGTCGGCGTTGGCGTTCGATTGCGTTCGCTCTTGATCAAACGGAGGTTAGATTTGGTATGGACAGGATTTGTTGCGCTTCTGGTATTTAGTCGTTGTCTGCATTCGATAAGAGGAGGCCCGTCGCTCGGCATTAGCATTTGACCTGACTCTGCCCAACTCGAAACTAAATTTAGGGTGTACACTACGTGTAGATGAGCGCATTCCAATACCTTCTTAACAACAAACGCCAACGTCACATGCGCTTGCATTCATTTGCTCGACGTTGGATTTTCGGTCTGGACGCGGCCTAAGACGTGAGTTGAGGCAAAATATTGATATTCCGCAGAATTTCGTTTTGTGAAGTCTGTTAATGTGTGTGTATTCATATTGCCTGTTATACAGTGTGACAGTGAAAAAATATTTATAATACAAAATTAAAATAATCAACCTGAGGGTCGCTTCTTATTGAAATGGAGTAATTTTTATTTTGAAATATAAAGAACGTTAGTGGCATTTTTGAAGTAGGTAAATTAAAACCCCTTTTTCTTTTTATTATTTTTTTTATTATCTTTTCCCATCTTGATCTTAGGATAATATTTGATAGGCATCTAAAAGGTGTCCGATTTATGCGACTAAACTAAGAGACTTATTTACCTAATAAAATTAATTCAAGTTCGTGTGAAAGTATCTCATCACTCAAGAGAATATAGATACAGGTATACAGACTAACTTGCAAACATCTAAGAAGAGTAAAGAAAATTGCGGCAGTGAGCAAAAGCTTCTTCGACTATCAAAACACATAATGGTGGACGAACAGGCTGCAGGTACTCGACCTGCGCATGCGCTCCACCTAGGCATGATATATACCCAAGCTACTACTTACACTTGGCTATAAAGAGATATTAGAGGATGTAGAGACAACAAGATACAACTTTTTAGCTTGCTAGCGATCAATAAATTGGAGATCAGAAACTCTTTGAACA